TGGAAGGAGCTCTATTGCTTGGAGGCAAAGAAGGAGGTGGAAAGAGTAACACCCTAAGAACTTGTCTCAGGACACTAGCATGCACATGGGTGCTGCAGGCTGAAAGGGAGGCCCACAAACATAGGCGGTAAACTATTTGTTACAAAACTAGTAAAACTCTTACGTGAGAGGAGATCTCAGAGACTAAAAGATGAGGCAAGTTTCTACTTAGCATAATAAAGACTCCTGAGTAGGTAGCTGAGTGCTGAAATTTATAACAGCTAGGGGAAATGGGTCCTTACTGTTGTGGTAATTATTGACTCAAATGGTCTGCAATCAGTGGGATAGGACTAGAAGAAACACTTGGGATATCTTTTTAATGCTCCCTGTTTGCAGATAAAAAGCCTTCTCTGCCTCTTCCCTGTCTAAAGCCTACAAGAAAAGTGTTTTGTTTCAGGTATTGAACCTCTTCATCATTTAAGGGAATGCAAGGCAGCTGAGTGAGTTGTTACCTCATCAATACAGTCCAGCCTGCGAGAGCTTCCCCTGCCTTATTCAACAGAGAGAGTTGTAAACTGATAGAACAAAAGGTATATTCACCAGAGCAGGAAAAGTATTTTTTTTTCTCCAGCCGACAATATCTAAATGTTATCCAACTGCATCACAATCACCCCACACTGTTACCCATACACCACAATGTCACCACTCACACACACACACACACACACACACACACACGTTCCTACTCCTCCCGCTGTTCTCCCCATCCATTACACATTATCAGCACAGAAACACTTGGGTACACGCTTCCATCCATATAGATTGCACAAACCTGAAGCATTTACAAACACATCATTTTTCACACCCACATTTCCCAGTAACAGTATAAAACATGAGACTTTACAGATAACATTTGTACTGCATACCAACCTAAAGCACCCTTCTCCACTTACCCGAGTGCTGCTGTGATTTCTTTCATCAGACTCATTCCCCCTTTACAAACACCTCTGAGCAGCTCAAAAAATACATTATAAGCAAATGCTGCCAGTACTATGCAGACCAATTCTGCGTGTCCTTTCCTAAAGCATCTACTTCACTAAATTAGCTCTAGAGGTATCTTATATATTTTTTAAAAGCACAAAATCTCCTGCAATTAACCGATGAGGTGGGGTTGTAGGGGACATTCATTAAAACAAGCAGGGATCTTTTAGCAAATTACTGATTTAAAACAGCTGTTATTTTTCAAGGGAAAGAGTTTGTTTAGAAGAATTTTCAATGTAAAGCAATGATGAGGAAAATGTATAATTTGTCAAAGTATTCATTTTTTAAATAAAATGCTTGGGGTGTAAATCAAACTTACTTTTCATATTGACAGCTAAGTTAGAGTAATAGTAGGTAAAAGTGAAAACATCAACACAAAATTTTTCTAAATGATTAAAATTCAATTTTTGATAGACCCGAATCATTTGCTTCTCCTCCCCACACACCCAATTTTTGACTTGGGGAAAAAAAAAAAAAAGGAAAAGAAAAATTCAGCTTTTGAGTCCCATTCAAGAATCTGATTTTTAGCAGAAACTATGAGGCACAGCATGCTAAGAGACGAATCCATTCAAGGGAAAAGCTGCAGCATGCCACCAGAAAATCCCACCCAGAGCAGTGCTGGGGTGTGGGGGTACTTTTATTCCCCCAGGCCCCACGGGGCAGGGAGGCCAGTGCACCATGCAGGAGGAACAACCGTCCCGCCTCTGAGCCACCTGCCTCCGGATGAGGACTGGAGCCGCGGCAGCAAGGAGACGCAAGAATCCCGAACCACGAAATTAAGGGAACATAGTGATCAGGCCAAAAATATAAAAAAAAAATAAATAGAAAAAAATAAAATAATAAAGAAAATCATCCTCCTCACAGGACTCAGAGCCTCTAACCTAGAGGAGGAGCAAAGCCTGCCTCTGTGCCAAAGCCCCCCAGCCCAGGCAGGCGGGGGACAGGCATCCCATTGCATATCCCCTGGCAGAGGAGCAGGAGGAGGCAGCCTGCGTTGGCCACTTGGCACCGTGGAGCCCGCAGGTCCCTTGCCAGCCTCAGCTGCGCTCCCTCCCCTGCACCCCGGCCCCTGCTATTCCGCCTCAGCTCGGCCGTGCCCAGCAGCGCCGGCATCGCTCCCCTTCGCCCCCACCTTGGGCGGCTTTGGGAGAACAGGAAAAGAGGAGCTGCTGTCGTGTTCACCCGGACCCCCCTGCAAGTGGACAGCGAGGAAAAGAGGGAGAGAAGGCCCGCGCAAGTTTTGGATAGCTTGCAGAGGTGCAGGCTCCGCTGGCTGGCTTGGGGAGGGATGCGCTCAGAAAGCGCTTGGAAGCCGTCCGAATGGGGTCACTGCCTCTCAGAGCCACTACTGCGGTTTTCTGGGGTAAGAACTCCACAGAGTTGTGCATGGCACGGTTACAGAAGTGTCCAAGGCTTGTTAACACATCTTTCAGTGAATAACAATTAATTTGAAATAAGTGGGGTTTTGTTTGGGGTTTATTTATTTATTTTAAGAGCACATTATTTTCCCACCCCCTTTAAACTCCTGCAGGTATCTTTGGGCTTGCTCGTGAGGTGCCCTGCTCCTCCCATGCAGCCCCAACATTCCTGCTTCCCCATCCTCTCGCCCTCCAGACCAGGGAAAGGAAATCACTGCCAGCTACGAAGCTAGACCCGGCAGTGGTCTGGTTTATATCACATCTGAAGTTTGGGAGCAGTAGAAAAAGCAGCTCCAGATTTTCAAACCGTCCCCATCCCATCCCAAAACCCAGGGAAGGCAACTGTGTTGCCTCTGCCTTCTCAGAGGATACCTGGGAAGACAGCCCTCAAAGGACCTTCCCTGATGCCTTCAAAATCAGAACAGATGGGGCTGATACAACTGTATCAGTAGTAACCCACTAAAACAGAATGTAAAAGCCTATAAATGCCTATAGCCTGGCATAAGCTACAGCTGTAAGAAAGGACTAAACCAGTTCCTAGTTGTGCTAGCATCAGGATGCTCTGGTTGGCACTCGGGGAAGGCTTGTGACTTGGAAACACTGCGTGGAGCAAGTGCCATTGACTACAGGCTAGGAAACATGCATCAGAGAGAGAGAGGCAATGTTGTGAGTCAGCGTGATTTGCCAGTGTCTGTCTTCCTTGATAGGTCTGTGCCTACTCCTCCGGAGGAGAGGGAAGTTCACATCAAACTACGCAACTTCACTGCGGACATTAGGTACTTATGTTACACAAGTACTGGTTCTCCTCTTGCCCCACGTACATCCTATGTGGTGGAAAAAATCCTCCTCCCCTGTCAGAAATAGCCACTTCACAGCGAGGAAGTCAGCTGAAAGGTGCTGGTGCTGGATTCACAATCCAGAGTTCCGAGAATGCAAGTTTGAGAGAAAATATGTGACAGTGAAAAGCATGTGTACGTAACCCAGAAACAGAAGAAGTGAGGCTGTATGAAAAGGAACACTTGGTAAATGTGAGAAGGTGGCAAAAAATGAGGGATTTCATAGTGAGTGCTTGCAGTAGTGACAGGAAAGTGTGAGGCTGCAACAGAAAGCGTGTGTCTGTCAGGGAGCATGCCCGTATGGGAATTTGCTTAGTAGATGCAAAATAGAAGAAGACAGTACATGCAAGACTCTGTGTAAAAGTAGGAGCTAAGGCGAAGTGAGGGTGCTGTGACTGGGCATATCTCCATGCACAGCACTCACGCACTAATATGCACAAGAGAAAAGGGCTCTGTGTGTGGTGGGGGCAGTCAGAGCGAGATACCCTCTACGGGTGCAGCTCACTGGGAATGCAAGACCGTGAGGCACAGAGTAGGCCAGGTAGAGTACCTGTATGTTCTTTATGTATATATTCACCTCTGTGTGTGTATACGTGTGCATGCATGCAGGCTCACAAGGCTGGTGCAGCAGGATAGGCAAGGGGTTTTTATATGCAAGCAACCATGAACACTAGTGTGCAGGATGAAGAGAGCGCACAAGAAAAGGCTTGAAGGAGGTGGGGGGAGAGAGGAAGAGAGAACGTGAGTGCAAGAGAGGCAGACTGGCACTCCAGGAATTGCATGTGCTAGAGAGCTAGAACTGCATGTGCCAGAGTGAGTTTATTCATCTTCCCTGCTATATTCATGAGTGTGTATATGTGTGTGTGTATGTGCAAAGGAACGCTGGTGCGTATAAATGAGTGTGGATCATGTACAAGCTACGATTTGGAGGCTCTGATTATATGTACATGTGTGACATGTATTTATACATACAGCATGGGATGCATTAACCCTTAACTCCTGTTTACAGAAAGCATCTCAAAACCAGCTAGCATGCCTGTCATCACTTCAAACTAAATTCCATACTCACACTTGGCTCTTAAAGCAAGAAACCCAGCTGGCAATTCTCCACTGAACAAAACCCCATACCCAACAAATTTTCTTCTGTCTTTCTTCCATCACTCTCTTTTTTTTTTTTTTTATCCCTGGTGGAGGGGAAGGACATAGTGTTTTTGCAGACAGATCAGAGGCATAGAGGTTCCTCTAACCTCCCCCTCTCCGGGTAAATCCAAAATAAAAATAAAACAGGAAAAAAAAAAAAAAAAAACACAACAAACTTAACACTGGTCTCCTCAGGAAGGTAAAGATTCCAAGACCATCAGTACTTGTGACCCAAAGTGCTGAGAAATAGTGGCTGTGGATGGAGGGGATACCCACCTTCACCCACCCCTCTTTTCCTTTGCAAATCTTGCTGTGCCCCCCACAACTCCCCCTCTGCGAAAGCATAAATACAGCAGCACAGTCAGTCACATGCAGTGCCCTCTAACCATAGGATTCACCAGCAGTGATCTCTCCTTGGCTTATTTCCTGAGGGGGGGGTGGGGGGTGGGGGGGGAAGGTTTGGAGGAGAAGGGGGGGAAGAGGAAGCTCCAGCTTCCAGCTCCATATTTCAGGCCATCCTCGGTCCATCAGCCTCAATTCAAGCAGAAGGTTTTGAGGAGGTTGCAAGAAAGAACTCATCACATACCTTGCAAGGAGAAGAGGGACAGGAAGAATCCCAGCACCCAGATACTGTGCAGCCAGTAGGTCCTCATGCTTCTCTCTCACTCGCTCCGCTTCCTCTGCCTTTTTCTCCGTCTCTTCGCTTCTCTCTCTCTCAATTTATCTTTTTTTTCTTTTTTTTCTTTTTTTTTTTTTTTTTTTTTTTTTTTTTCCCGCCCCTTCTCTTTTCTCAGAGAAAATGGGATTCGTGTCTCTTTTCAGTCCCCCTGGGCTCTGCTTTACCAGCTCTGACAATCCGGTCGCAGCGAAAGCTGACCCACGGTGGCCAGATTCCCAAATAACCTCGCACTCTCCCCTTCAAGTGCTGGAGAAAGGGGGGGCCAGGTTAGATGCTCGCCGTAGCCTGCGCTGGCTGTAAACACAGAGAATCTCTCTGTCTCTCTCCTGCAGCTCCAACTAAATGCGACTGTACTTAAACAAGCAATGCCTTATAGGACAGCGCTCAGAGCAGAAAAGATCCCACCTCTGCCACCTAGTGTTGCAAGCCAGCTCATTTATTTTATTTTTATATATATAAATATATATATGTTATGCTATAGAAATATGGTTCTCTCACTCCTCTGCAAATGTATCTCTTGGATCACAGGTCTATGAGCCACGCTGGGCTCAGGAGTCCCTAAGGCTCCAGCGGCAGCTGTCAGGGGGAGATTATTCAGCAAAGGAATGTTGCTCATCGCCACAAGAAATGCAGCAGGGCACGTTTGATTTCTCAGCAGAGTTCTGCTCGACAAAATCTGAAGCAAGGGTCTCCCTGATGCTGGTGTCACTGTTGGGCAGTACACAGGGGCCAGAGGGAGATTCAGACGCACTGATTGTAATTACAGAGCTGCCAAGGCCTCCAGGAAAAATAGCAAGCATCAGGCTGCATTAATCTTTGCTGGATCTCCTGTGACTTTCGTGCAATTTCAGAGGGACCAGAAGGAATCCTTCTGTGTAGGAAAACCAGCTTGCAGAGTCACTGTTTGCTCAGAGACAGCTTCTCCCACTACCCCTCTCCTTTCAAATACAGGTTCCTCCTACCATACATAGCATGAACTTTTTTACCCGAGGAGTAATTAACTTCTGTAGCACTGTTTCCCCCTAAAATCATTGACTCTGGTGAGAGCAACAGATGCAATGAAGTACTACTTAACATTAAACAGGGGCTTTTTGTTGGTCAATCCCCAGGCATTTCACAAAAGGGTGTCCTTTTGCAGCTGGGGACGTGGAGGCAGTGCGACTGCGCAACTTTTCAGAGGCCAGTCCCTGGGATGCAGTGTGACAGCCCAGGTGGGCTGCCCACCCAGCCCGGTGGTCCTTCTTGAGGCTACATTGCCCCCCTTCGCTGTCATCACCATGGCAGCCCACGAGGATGCCTCCGCTAAAGGATACCAATCTCCAATTTCCACACTGCAGATGCAGGACGCCAAGGTGAGCATGCATATGTAGGAAAGGTGTGTAGGATCCTTGTCACTAATGATGTCGCTCCAGAAGTATTTCTTATTAGACTGCTGTAGAGCAAGCTGTTCTGCAAACAGAACGCATCAAGCCTGCCACCCCGAGGGTTGTTGTCTGCTGTCTCCAAAATCCCCCCCTCACCCTACTGTAATGAAAGCTGGATCCCCTCATATCCCCTGTAGGAAACAGGGATGGCATGCTGTGGCTAGCCTAGAAACACATGTTTGTTTCCTAGAGGACCAAAATGCACACTGCAATACAATGCAAAATGCAGTCACCATTTGGCCTGGTTGGCTGCTGCCAGGTACCACCTGTGTTATTCATTCTTTTTCTCCCATGGAGGGAGTGGGGAATTACCTAGTCACCAGTTTTTAAAAGACATACAGGAGCAAGTTACTTTTCAGCCCTCCACCCTCTTTTAAATGTGGTTGAAATTGATTGTGCTGAAAAATTCTTAGGAGGAAGAACATATGGACAAACAGATACACACATACTATCAATTAGGCTTCATTTCCCAAGGAAATCAAACTAAAAATATTGGAGTAGGTTAAAGTCAACTGATTCCAGTCAACTGGAGGAGCATGCTGCTTCTTCAAGGTTTCCCTTTCAAATGATTTTCATCCTCTGGTACTGTGTTGGGTTTGGATGGCAAGGATTTGGTAGCAGGGTGGCTACTAGAAGCTACTAGAAGCTACTAGAAGCTTCCTCTGTTGACAGATCTGCCATTGGCCTTTGTCGTTGGCCAAGGCCGAGCCCATCAGCGGCAGTGGCAGCATCTCTGCGATAACATATTTAAGAAAAGGAAGAAGTTGCTGCGCAACAGCAATTGCAGCGGGAGAGAGAGGGAAAGAATATGTGAGAGAAACAACCCTGCAGACCATGGTGAGGCTGGCAGATGTACATGAAGGAGGCTTTAACCCCATGGGAAGCCCACGCTGGAGCAGGCTACTGGCAGGACCTGTGGAGCCATGGAGAAAGGAGCTCATGCTGGAGCAGGCTTGCTGGTGGGACTTGTGACCCCGCGGGGGACCTACCCTGGAGCAGTTCGTGAAGAGCTGCAGCCTGTGGGAATGAATCATGTTGGAGAAGTTAGTGAAGGACTATATTCTGTGGGAGGAAGCCCACATGGGAGCAGGGGAAGAGTGTGAGGAGTCCTCCCCCTGAAGAGGATGAAGTGGCAGAAACAGTGGGTGATGAACTGACCACAACCCCCATTCCCTGTCCCCCCCTGTGCCACTGCCAGGGAGAAGGTAGGGAAATTGGGAGCAAAGTTAAGCCAGGGAAGAAGGGATGGGTAGGGGGAAAGTGTAAGTCAAGTCTGTTTTGCCTGTGATAGTTATTGGTGAGTGATCTTTCTCTGGCCTTATCTCGACTCACGAGCCTTTTGTTATATTCTCTCTTCCCTGCCCCCCGAGGAGAATGATAGAGCAGCTTTGGTGGGCACCTGGTGTCCAGCTGTCAGAGACTGTGTCAGTCTGTTTTCCTCGACATTGCTGGAACAAAACCACCGATACCACCACTGCTATAGCAATGGAGCTACCTCACCCACATGCATGCACCCAGACCTGGGGTCAGAAACCACATAAAACTCTGGAGTCAGATGCCCCCCCCCGCAATGGACACCATTACCTCAGCACCTAACATCTACATCTGATATATTAAGCAGCATTATATTCATTAATAATCTATCCTCAGCCCCATACATGGTGCCAAATCTCATCTTCTATCTATCCCAACATCCCAGCTGCCCACATTCACATGAATAACCTCATCTCTCACTTACCTGACACGTAATCCTACAGGCCACCACAACCTTACACTTTCATCTGATCATTATGCAACCATTCAAAGTCTACTTTACCTACAGACTTTGGCCATATCACACTTTGTATATGAATATCCTGTGGCCTGTTGGGTCCAGTCCCCTTTGGATCTTTGAGAATTTATGTAATAGAAATAATAATAAATAATAAATAAATAAATAAATAAATAAATAAATAAATAACAATAATAATAATAATAACAATCATAACAATAATAACAATAATAACAATAATAACAATAATAATAATATAGAATTGGATCTCTGCTCCATAAACTGCACAGGGATAAAACTTGAGATGATACTGAACCCAGCATTTTTCACATCCAGAGTGGGCAGTGGTAATTATAAATCCAGGGGGAAGATGCAAAGGAAGAAGCACTCTCTTAGGTAGCAGCATCTTACACTTCCCTGGAGAAGCCAGCATGACTGAAAGTAGACACGGCTATTTCTTACAACCTATTTGACATACTCCTAACCTTCAAAAACATTCAGGGCTGGATTTTGGCTCCCTTGCTCATGCTGAGTCATACCAACAGGGTTGCTTGGGACATTACGCTACTAAATATGAGCAGGAGTATCACATTCTGTGGGCTGAAATTCTCTGGAATTGGTCTCCAGCCAAATATGAGTCCATTTTTCATGTGGCCAAATCCCTCAGCTATCTACATATTGAGGGCAAAAACAGAAGCAAGAATTACACCTAACTCTCCCTAAACCCCCTAAACATTAAAAAAAAAAAAAAAAAAAAAAACAACAAAACAAAAACAACTAATGCAAAACCCAAAATACACAGTAGTACATGTTCTTCAGTCCTTTCTTTTTAAATTACCACAGTTCTTCCACTTACCCCAGTATTCAAAAGCCAGATGAACCACAGAAATATCAGCTATTGAATAACACATCTACAATCCTGTATTTAAAAAAAAAAAAAAAGTTGGATTCTGACAGAACTCTGAATGATTGAAAGCTGGTTACTTTTAATGCATAGTAAAAGTATTTCATTAAGGCTGAGTGGATGCATTTAGATGCACTGTGCATAGATGCTTGTCCATTTTTTAATAAATAAATGTGCTTTGTGCTATTAACTGTTTAAGCACTCACACTTTCATTTCTATTTCATCTTAGCTTTAGTCACTTCACGCAATATCAATATTAACTTGATTGTGCAGCACACTCATAATATTTTCTCTTCCAAGTTTTTATACTGAACCCACCATAAAATATTTCTCAAGCAGGCATGTTAAAGTCGATGGAGGAACTTTTAGCTTTTCCATTACAGATTTTTTCAAATTACTGTTATTTAACTGTGCAAATGTCATGTTGCATTAGCAAAAGGCTTAGTGATTTTTTTACTTTAATAGAAATAGTATTGAAAACACAGTTGGTCATGTAAATTTTGGAGGGTTTACATAAGAGAATGAGTGCTCCTGAAATTTAAAGCTGAGAGAGCTTAGTAAAGTGAGCAGGAGACAAGAGCCATAGATTACCCAGGAGTGTTTTTTTCTAGATGTTTTAGTGTCCTGTCCTGCATGTCTGTCTCTGACATATGTGCATTACTACTTGTTTTACTGAGAGTTGTATCCGTGGGTTTCATGGAATGTCTTTGGGACTGGTGCATCTATGATAAATAGCACATTTTAGTGTGATTTAGAAGAGTGTTGTGGCATGTGCTGCATGTGATCTTAGGAAAGGGAGTGGAAGGAGATGTTCTCTCACCAAGAAATGCTCATTTGTCATGTGGCTCTGTGAAACCCACCACTATCCAAGGTCAAGGACTGCACAGTGTCCAGAAATGTGAGTTCTCATAGAAGGGATGCACAGTGCATGAAGACCGTGATAAATAGTCTCACACCTGATTAAGCTTCTTTATGTAGACTGAGAAAGCAGCATTCATGCTTCTCATTCGCCTTCACCTGATATTCAAGAGAAGTCAACCCTGCTCAAACCACACTTCCCAACTGCCCTTTCCTTTCTGCCACTTCATACTGCTGCTCTATATTCCCCACTTTTTCCTCTCTCAGCTTCTCTGCCCACCCTTCCACCTCTTTTCCTCTTTACTAACTTGCTCTGAAACCCATTAAAGATGGCAGAGTATCTTTTCGAGGCTTCTTCAAGAGAAGGTTTTTCCACCAGGGTTTCGACAAGAT